GAGTGATAAAGTGATGATGTTACGTTCTGTTTCTTGAAGGGTGATAAAGTGATGGTGTAACGTTCTGTTTCTTGAAGAGTGATAAAGTAATGATGTTACTTTCTGTTTCTTGAAGGGTGATAAAGTGATGATGTAACGTTCTGTTTCTTGAAGGGTGATAAAGTGATGATGTTACGTTCTGTTTCTTGAAGGGTGATAAACAGATGATGTTACGTTATGTTTCTTGAAGGGTGATAAAGTGATGATGTTACGTTCTGTTTCTTGAAGGGTGATAAACTGATGATGCTACGTTCTGTTTCTTGAAGGGTGATAAACTAATGATGTTACGTTCTGTTTCTTGAAGGGTGATAAAGTGATGATGTTACGTTCTGTTTCTTGAAGGGTGATAAAGTGATGATGCTACGTTCTGTTTCTTGAAGGATGATAAACTGATGATGCTACGTTCTGTTTCTTGAAGGATGATAAACTGATGATGCTACGTTCTGTTTCTTGAAGGGTGATAAAGTGATGATGTTACGTTCTGTTTCTTGAAGGGTGATAAACTGATGATGCTACGTTCTGTTTCTTGAAGGGTGATAAAGTGATGGTGTAACGTTCTGTTTCTTGAAGGGTGATAAAGTGATGGTGTAACGTTCTGTTTCTTGAAGGGTGATAAACTGATGATGTTACTTTCTGTTTCTTGAAGGGTGATAAAGTGATGGTGTAACGTTCTGTTTCTTGAAGAGTGATAAAGTGATGATGTTACGTTCTGTTTCTTGAAGGGTGATAAAGTGATGGTGTAACGTTCTGTTTCTTGAAGAGTGATAAAGTAATGATGTTACTTTCTGTTTCTTGAAGGGTGATAAAGTGATGATGTTACGTTATGTTTCTTGAAGGGTGATAAAGTGATGATGTTACGTTCTGTTTCTTGAAGGGTGATAAACTGATGATGTTACGTTCTGTTTCTTGAAGGGTGATAAAGTGATGATGTTACGTTCTGTTTCTTGAAGGATGATAAAGTGATGATGTTACGTTCTGTTTCTTGAAGGGTGATAAAGTGATGATGTTACGTTCTGTTTCTTGAAGGGTGATAAACTGATGATGCTACGTTCTGTTTCTTGAAGGGTGATAAAGTGATGATGTAACGTTCTGTTTCTTGAAGGGTGATAAAGTGATGATGTTACGTTCTGTTTCTTGAAGGGTGATAAAGTGATGATGTTACGTTCTGTTTCTTGAAGGGTGATAAACTGATGATGTTACGTTCTGTTTTCTTGAAGGGTGATAAAGTGATGATGTTACGTTCTGTTTCTTGAAGGGTGATAAAGTGATGATGTTACGTTCTGTTTCTTGAAGGGTGATAAACTGATGATGTTACGTTCTGTTTCTTGAAGGGTGATAAAGTGATGATGTAACGTTCTGTTTCTTGAAGGGTGATAAAGTGATGGTGTTACGTTCTGTTTCTTGAAGGGTGATAAAATGATGATGTTACTTTCTGTTTCTTGAAGGGTGATAAAGTGATGATGTTACTTTCTGTTTCTTGAAGGGTGATAAAGTGATGATGTTACGTTCTGTTTCTTGAAGGGTGATAAAGTGATGGTGTAACGTTCTGTTTCTTGAAGGGTGATAAAGTGATGATGTTACGTTCTGTTTCTTGAAGGGTGATAAACTGATGATGCTACGTTCTGTTTCTTGAAGGATGATAAACTGATGTTACGTTCTGTTCTTGAAGGGTGATAAAGTGATGATGTTACGTTCTGTTTCTTGAAGGTGATAAACTGATGATGCTACGTTCTGTTTCTTGAAGGGTGATAAAGTGATGGTGTAACGTTCTGTTTCTTGAAGGGTGATAAACTGATGATGTTACGTTCTGTTTCTTGAAGGATGATAAACTGATGATGTTACGTTCTGTTTCTTGAAGGGTGATAAAGTGATGATGTTACGTTCTGTTTCTTGAAGGGTGATAAAGTGATGATGTTACGTTCTGTTTCTTGAAGGGTGATAAACTGATGATGTTACTTTCTGTTTCTTGAAGGGTGATAAACTGATGGTGTTACGTTCTGTTTCTTGAAGGGTGATAAAGTGATGGTGTAACGTTCTGTTTCTTGAAGGGTGATAAACTGATGATGTTACGTTCTGTTTCTTGAAGGGTGATAAACTGATGATGTTACGTTCTGTTTCTTGAAGGGTGATAAACTGATGATGTTACGTTCTGTTTCTTGAAGGGTGATAAACTGATGATGTTACGTTCTGTTTCTTGAAGGGTGATAAAGTGATGATGTAACGTTCTGTTTCTTGAAGGGTGATAAAGTGATGGTGTAACGTTCTGTTTCTTGAAGGGTGATAAAGTGATGATGTTACGTTCTGTTTCTTGAAGGGTGATAAACTGATGATGTTACGTTCTGTTTCTTGAAGGGTGATAAACTGATGGTGTTACGTTCTGTTTCTTGAAGGGTGATAAACTGATGATGTTACGTTCTGTTTCTTGAAGGGTGATAAAGTGATGATGTAACGTTCTGTTTCTTGAAGAGTGATAAAGTGATGATGTTACGTTCTGTTTCTTGAAGGGTGATAAAGTGATGGTGTAACGTTCTGTTTCTTGAAGAGTGATAAAGTGATGATGTTACGTTCTGTTTCTTGAAGGGTGATAAAGTGATGATGTAACGTTCTGTTTCTTGAAGGGTGATAAAGTGATGATGTTACGTTCTGTTTCTTGAAGGGTGATAAAGTGATGATGTTACGTTATGTTTCTTGAAGGGTGATAAAGTGATGATGTTACGTTCTGTTTCTTGAAGGGTGATAAACTGATGATGCTACGTTCTGTTTCTTGAAGGATGATAAAGTGATGATGCTACGTTCTGTTTCTTGAAGGGTGATAAAGTGATGATGTTACGTTCTGTTTCTTGAAGGGTGATAAAGTGATGATGCTACGTTCTGTTTCTTGAAGGATGATAAACTGATGATGCTACGTTCTGTTTCTTGAAGGATGATAAACTGATGATGCTACGTTCTGTTTCTTGAAGGTGATAAAGTGATGATGTTACGTTCTGTTTCTTTTGAAGGGTGATAAACTGATGATGTTACGTTCTCTGTTCTGTTTCTTGAAGAGTGATAAAGTGATGGTGTAACGTTCTGTTTCTTGAAGGGTGATAAAGTGATGATGTTACTTTCTGTTTCTTGAAGGGTGATAAAGTGATGGTGTAACGTTCTGTTTCTTGAAGAGTGATAAAGTGATGATGTTACGTTCTGTTTCTTGAAGGGTGATAAAGTGATGGTGTAACGTTCTGTTTCTTGAAGAGTGATAAAGTAATGATGTTACTTTCTGTTTCTTGAAGGGTGATAAAGTGATGATGTTACGTTCTGTTTCTTGAAGGGTGATAAAGTGATGATGTTACGTTCTGTTTCTTGAAGGGTGATAAACTGATGATGCTACGTTCTGTTTCTTGAAGGGTGATAAAGTGATGATGCTACGTTCTGTTTCTTGAAGGATGATAAACTGATGATGCTACGTTCTGTTTCTTGAAGGGTGATAAAGTGATGATGTTACGTTCTGTTTCTTGAAGGGTGATAAACTGATGATGCTACGTTCTGTTTCTTGAAGGGTGATAAAGTGATGGTGTAACGTTCTGTTTCTTGAAGGGTGATAAAGTGATGGTGTAACGTTCTGTTTCTTGAAGGGTGATAAACTGATGATGTTACTTTCTGTTTCTTGAAGGGTGATAAAGTGATGGTGTTACGTTCTGTTTCTTGAAGGGTGATAAAGTGATGATGTTACGTTCTGTTTCTTGAAGGGTGATAAACTGATGATGTTACGTTCTGTTTCTTGAAGGGTGATAAAGTGATGATGTAACGTTCTGTTTCTTAAAGGGTGATAAACTGATGATGTTACTTTCTGTTTCTTGAACAATAAAGTGAATTGGTGAGTTGAGTTTAAGCCGCTTTGATTATTGCTGTATTTAGGTCAGGTCAACTTCGACATCTGCCAGAAAAGCTGGACGTATCGCAGACGTTTCCAACTTGGGTGAAGCATACGAGCGTGGGAATGGTGTTGACATACCAGGAAACTAAGAGAGCAAACAGAGATTCGAACTCCCCACCGCATGTCCCAGCGTGTCCACGGGTCACGAGATACGGGTGTTCAACGATTAGGGGTCCCCCTATGCAGTGAAGATCGTTCTGTCCTTGAATTTCAGCAAGTAACAGACGTGTTAGCGTCAAGTGACGCTCAATTGAAGGCTTCGAATATTATAACCTTCTAATATGGCGTTTTGTTGACCAATAATGTTCTAGGTAGGTTCGTTGACCAGCTCCATGTGCGTACAGTGTGTTGTGGACAAGATGAAAGAGCCACAGCTAGTTGTTGTAATGATTGCATGTGACTGGACTGAGGCCATCAGTTCGGTTTCCGTCACACAAACACCACTTTACACAAGTATATTTACGCAATAATCACACGCCAGTCCAAGAGGAAATGGTCCAATTTAAACCAAATCCGAACGCGACCTGGTCATTATTGAGCTTATTATCAGCCTATTACTCGTAGCTACTTCATTCAGCCGATTACGTTTAGACCGCTGGCTAGAAACTGGCGAGAAATCGCCTCAATTAAGAAGGTATTTTCGGCCCTGATCTTTGTTTCTCCAAGTCAAAGCCCCACTGTCCAGCCCCCTGGCAACTCGGCCCATCCTTTTATCAACATTCTGCGTCAAAAGATTATGCTCTTAAATTGGTTTTCCGATACCTGCTCCAATAGTTTCTCCCACCCCCATCGGCTAGAACATATTACCCACATGCACGGACCAGACACATGCATAGCGTTTGGCCCCTTACTTCGGCTTATTTAGCTGTCAATATCGCTTTATTATCATAGGTGTAGGTTACACTCCATTCTTCCGACACGCCGTCGAAGACAGCCATTGACAATAGTGTTTCGGCGGCGACGGTATATTATCCAATCAGAGTGCCGAAAAGGCCCTGTCAATCAAAGTCGGCCGTCAATCATGAAATGCCTTCTAACGCATGGAGCCGGACCGCTAGAAGTAGCCCGGCGTCACTGGATCACAGGTGGACGGGTACACCACGGGAGTATTGAAACTTCGGGACTCGTATACCGGCACTCGTATTGTCCATGTGAGGATTACGTGTGTGTGCATCTGAACCACGCAGGATGCAATAGCCAATCTACTGGAATTAACACGGTAAGGAGACAGGCAAACTTGTGTTTACTTCTATGTTGATCTTTGACTTTACCGAGGGGTCCAGTCGTTTCCGCTGGTTCATTGCTTTTCTGTAAATGTGACTCCCCGCTTTTGATTAACTCCAAGTTGTGTGTACGACATGTTGTGGGCAACTGACAACCATCGCACCTACTCGGTTTCACATTTAGGGGATAAATGTCACAGCGCATAGGCGTGATTATAATATTTGAGACAGTCGGCAATGCAGGGGGTCTGAATGAGAAGTCGGGTATAAACCTCCACATATCTAGCAGATCTAGCGAAGTACATTACCCCACTGCTGTGTCCGTCCCCGGGGTACTGATGGCTTGTAGGTTTTGTACACTTAAGTCAATCAAGACAGACTCGCGCCATGCTATCGATTTCAGTGCAATGGGTGTGAAGTAGAGCTGCTTGAAATGCGCGACCACGAGAGTACGTTAACTAGAACCGCTTCACCTGTGTAATGAATTAAAGGTTAAACATTCCGTACAAGGATTTTCATAGATCAGTTGTTTTAGAATGTTTTTCGCACCTGAGTGGTTATTGTAAGGGGTTATTTCAAATAGTCACTTGCCACAGCATTTTTTTTTCAATGGAAATGACACCTATTACCCAACGTGAGTGGTGTTGCTGTTGGCACGGCTGGTGTTATGGAGGACACGCACACATCGTACGGAGGACTTTAATTGATAGCTATATACATACAGATAAGGGGAAAACAAACACACGGTCACCCAGACGCTTGTTTAAATCCACACTATTTGTTTGTTGAATAGACTGTTATCAATGGTTTAGACCGCTTGATCAACAAGAGTACAAGAGATCCCCGCTATATGAAACTGTTATTGTAAACCCACGGTACCTATTGGAGTTTGATTACTAATCAATATCCAGGAAATGTCTATTTCAGTGATATTACCCTGTTAACAGGTCCTTGCAATATTGACAAGGTATGTGATTACTACTAACAAGCGGTACTGATACAAGCTTTATACTGATAGGTAGTGGGAAATCTGTCATTTAATATCGCTGCCTATGACCATGCTGATATACACGCGATATCCAGTCAAACCTGACACTTGAACAGAGCGAGTTTATATTGATACATACTACCCTTCCGAGTTACAATACTTTAATGTGTAAACTTCATTCTGATTGCAGAAACAAACTAAAAATAAGATAGACTGTTATTGCTAACGTATTCCAGATAATTTGCCGTAGTTGATCGCAGTATGTCTACCCCATCACAAAACAATGACGGTTTGAACTGTCCAACTCACCACGTGCTCCTGACATAGCAATTCTACCAGTGACTATAGGTGTGTGTGTGTCGGACTTCACTGACAGGTAAACAGCGAGACAATACGACTGTTAGGTTCGGAGATATTGACAGCAGGATGGGATGCAGGTGCACATTTTACGACTGAAGTATTTCGTCCGACCCGTGACAGTGATGTGTGTTAGATAAAGGCACATATAACGTGAGAAGTGAGATAAAAACAGGGTAAGACACAGAGCCAAGAGGCATCAAGATGTGCAAGTTATGCGGTGTTTCTATTCAGGTATAAAACTGTCATTCATAAGTTTTTAAAGCAGTCACTGGCAACGCAACACTGTCTCTTTCTATTGCATGTAACATATTTTGAATACTAAGGGGGGATTTTAGAGAACTCCGCAGAGAGGGTACAGGTGATACAAGTGTAGCATTGTGTACGGAAGCTTGCAGGAGTACTGTACGGTGACAGTGTTTGACATCTGCACATGACGGTGTTGTAATACGTGCCCGCTACACTCTGCAACTTTTGACATGATGCTGGAGTGGGTACCCCTGGTTACTAGGCGCCCCATCATCAGCCGTGATCCACAACACTGGTAACTCCAGGGGCTAGTATACCTTGGTTTGTCTGACCTGTCCAAATCACGACCATCAACTTGTAAAATCAGAATTCACGATCGCCAAAACGCTAAGGTCGCTCTGTGGGGGCGATGTCCGAAGTTACTGCCATGTGGTGCACCATCACTCGTCCCCACACCTGTTGTCGATAGCACTATCCGCGACGACGTCATCAGTTTCCAGTTTCAAGGGTAGTAATGCGACTATAAAAGTAATCGCCGTGGCGTGGTTTGAGGGCGAGGGACAGGGGCGGGGCAGTTCAGAGGTGAATGTGTTTGTTCAACTCAACATCAAGAGTATCACACTCTTGTCTTTACACAGTTAACCGAAACATAATAGAAGCTGTGATTGCCAATTTCCACATGTGTGGCAGCTATTTTCATAACACCATTGACCATCGATGTGAGTCGCCCGCTACATCCACAGCTACAATATGCACATGTCGATATATCTGATACTTCGACACACAGATGGTATCTGACACCTTCCCATGTTTAAGTCGAATTATCCACTGTATGACATCACCGTGACGGCGACGTGGTCCATGGATCGGCTAGTCCGATGGATGTGGATACGCATGTTGGAAGTCAACATAAGGCCTCTGTACTATCCTGGGTTAGGTCTGATTTAGAACGATGTCCTGTAGATGAGAATCGGGGAGGTAACTCAGGCAGTAGAGAAGGGCATGTTGTGACCACTGGTCGCCTCACAGTGCTGTACATATACAAATGTGTGTAGCAGAGGAAACAGGTGCCTCTCATCGCCGACAACATGACTTACACACACAACCAAAAGCCATGTATATCCCCCAACCATGGCGTCTTGTCGACTGAATACACAACATATGTAAAGTAAGTTGGATCTGCGGGACTGTAAAACAGCAGGGATGACATTAACGGAACAAACAACATTGATAACAACACATTATTTTGCAGCAATCAATGTGAAACGATTATCAGATATAACTTAATGAAACAGAACCTGGACGGAATGATCAGTTCTCACCCTGATCAGCTTGTGTGCGGGACAGCAGCAGTGTCATGTTCCAACATCAGGATCTGTACGCTGCTGCGGTTACTGTATGCTTCTATACATGTTTGTGTGGGAGCATAAGACAGTGTTTGACATTGTTCACAGTCTCTGTAGGTGTATGAGAGTGTATGACTGTGTATGACAATGTATGACTGTGTATGACAATGTATTCTGTACGACGGTGTATGTCTGTATGGCAGTGTTGGGACTGTGTATGACGGTGTATATCAGTGTATATCTGTGTATATCAGTGTATGTTTGTGTATGTCTGTGTATGTCTGTGTATGTCTGTGTATGACGGTGTATGCCAGTGTATGGCAGTGTTGGGACTGTGTATGACTGCATGACGGTGTATGTCTGTGTATGACAGTGTATGTCCGTGTATGACGGTGTATGCCAGTGTATATCTGTGTATGACTGTGTATGACTGTATGGCAGTGTATGTCTGTGTATGACAGTGTATGTCCGTGTATGACGGTGTATGACAGTGTATGACAGTGTATGACGGTGTATGTATGTGTATGTCTGTGTATGACTGTATGACAGTGTATGTCTGTGTGTGACAGTGTATGTCTGTGTGTGACGGTGTATGACAGTGTATGACGGTGTCTGACGGTGTATGACTGTGTATGACAGTGTATGACGGTGTATGACAGTGTATGACGGTGTATGACTGTGCATGACGGTGTATGACGGTGTATGAGAGTGTATGACAGTGTATGACGGTGTATGACGGTGTATGACGGTGTATGACATTGTATGGCAGTGTTGCCAATGTTTGACAGTGTGTGGCTGTGTTGGGGGACCTCGGGCGTTGGTAGCATGCGACTGTGACAGCATGACTGTGTGGTAGCATGTATGACAGTGTGGTAGCCAACATAAGCTACACGTATATGTATACAGACAACACGCAGTCAGGAGCGGCACGACGATTACTTAGTCAGTCACTAATGGTGAGTTAAACGTAAATGATGCTTTGAGCTGGAGTACCTGGCCCCCACGCGTGTTCAGGTATAGGCGCTCTCCGTCTAGACAAGGTGAATGAGGGCCGCTGCGTCTATCTGGACATTTACGTCTTGTTCGCCATGTGCTGCACCTATTTGCCGACCATAAAGTTGATCATTAATATTTAAAAGATTTGTTAGAAATGGAAGTTTTCCTCTCAGTGTAGCTAGAGTAATTACAAGCTTCCCGTGAATGTCGTTGTATCTCTTTGTATCAATTATGCTAATTTTCGTGTTTGCGATACCTTGGGGGAAACTCTTTGTTTGTTATTGTAATTCCTAATGTGGCCGTGTTTTACCATGGCTGAGATCTTTGCATCATTCAACGTCAGTACAAAACGGATTTGGCAAGGATGTGTTAATGTTAGTAATGTGTCTAATTTTAACTTGTCTATTCACTCACTCGTTTGACATGTGCTGTATGTCAACCTCTGACTTAATGCAACCTCTGACTTCATGCAACATGACTGTATTTTGCCGTCCCCTCTTGGTCGGGGGCATGGCCTATATTCACATTCCGGGGTACTATGAAGTCGGGTACATGTGTATGTTGGTTGAACTTGTCTATCCGCTCAACGTCACTCTGTCCGTTAACATCAGCGTAAACGTCAGCTACGTGACCAGTGGCACCTGCTACATGCCCCATTCAGCAGCTAACTGGAATCTAGTAGCTGGACAACGACATTAGAATTGATGTCGAAACGTCGGCTTTCTCAGAATAAAGACGTTGTATATCCACAAAATGTATCATCATTCCACTGGAATCCAGCTTTACAGCCGCTGTTGTGGAAGTCAACTGTTGTTGCCATTAGACAAACTGGCTGAACCCGTGACAACAGTGTGGACCCATACAACATGTATTTCACATTTACCACCGTCGTTGTTTCATATTGCCATGTTCATTTCACATGCTGAAGCCATATCCACGATACGAACAATATCCTTGGGGAGAGGAGATGCTGAACACAAACAAGCCTGAATCCCAACCTGCCCAAAGGTCAGTGAAATAGACCTGTCCGGTCTGTAGTTGGGGATACTGTACACCAGCT